TAGTAGAGCTGGATAGTGTGTTCAAAGATTATGATTTTCACCGAGTGCAAAGTTTTGAGGAAAGGTTGGAAGGCCTGGACACCTTTTCCCAAAACTTCTGGCTTACAAAGTTCGTCTGAACAAACGAACAAACACTTGTTCAAGTACTGCATTCTTTGGCAAATTGATTTCCAACTAAGCTTGCTCATCTGCGTTACTTACTGGGGGATATCGACGTTAGAAATGGTGAGTGACTGAAAAATTCAACATTATACTAGTTTTCGAATATCTGGAAACGGACGGCAATTTCATTGTTCTCTCTCACGAAAACACAAGAAAAGCACGATGTTCATCGCATGTTATCCAGCACCAGGAAAATACCAATGAATAACCTGTTTTCCTAAATGTTTTTCTTAATTTTTCCCGTGCGCGTGAACGCTGCATTTCCTAAGCATCTTCCCACAGAATAACTAGCAGTAAATGCCCTGAAGACACGATGTTTCTGATTGTTTTCCTGCTCGACGGAAATGTTGTAGAGCTTAATTTCCTGAAAGTTTTACTATAGCTTTCCCGAGCGCACGAAAACTGGATTTCAGTTTCCGAGCGTTTTACCGCAGAATTACTAACGGTGAATGCCATGAAAGCACGATGTTTGTTTAGAATGAGAGCGATCTTCGCAGTAACGAAACACTACTTGAGCGGTAGCAAAAACGAGACCTGAATTAAATTCAGGCCTGTACGGGACTCGAGTCCATGATTTCTGGGATACCGGTGCAGTGCTCTACCAACTGAGCTCACAAGCCAACTGGGAGCTGGTCATTATGTTGGTTCGTAATAAACCCGTCAATTGATGAATCAACGTTTGTGAATATATGAAAGTCATTTATTTGAACTGCGGTTAGAGAACGATTATGAGAACGATCTTCATGGTAACGAACACCTCTTATTAAGCAGTAGTGAAAATAAGGGCTGTAAAACAATTCAGGCCTGTACAGAATACGAACACATGACCTCTACGATACTGGTGCAGTGCTCTACCAACTGGGCTAACAAGCCGACTTAAGTAGTGTTCGTTGCTGCGAAGATCGCTCTCATACTCGTTCTTTAAATAAATGTCTTTCACATATTCCCAAACGTTGATGATGTTTGTTGATTGTTTTCCTGCTCCACTGTAGAGCGTTAGTGTATAGCTTGTTTTCCTGAACATTGTTCTGTAGTTTTCCTAAGCACATGGACGCTGCACTTGCCAAGCTTTTTCTCACACAATAACTAATGGTGAATGCCATGAAAACATGATGTTTGTCGATTTTTATCCGGCTCCATGAAAACGCGGGGTCATCCTCGTTGTAAAAACCTGACAAGGTTTTCTTTGTTTCATGAGGTATTGTTTTGCTGTACGTTATTGTTTCTAATGTCTTCCTGTCTTTGTTTTAGGTCATTCGTGTGCTTCACAGGCTTTTACACCAAGGATTAGCCAAAACGCGAGTGTATAGCTTGATTTCCTGAACGTTTTTCTACAGTTTTCCTAAGCGTATGAACGCTGCATTTGCCAAGCATTTTCTCACAGAATTACTAACGACCCTGATTAGGCCATGAAGACGTGTTCTTTGTCTATTGAGCGCTGCATTTTCCAACTGTTTTCACACAAAGTTACTAATGATGAAGGGCATCATTTGCAATTCTGTTTACAAAGATCTGGAAATGGGAAGAAATTCCCACAGATTGGAGCAGAGGAGTGATATTCAAGATCCCAAAGAAAGGGTCTCTAAGTGATTATAACAACTGGCGAGGAATTACCCTTTTGCCTGTGCCGAGTAAAATCTTTTGCAAGGTCATTATACAGCGCATCACCCAAGCTGTTGATGACATCCTGCGGAACGAGCAATCTGGATTTCGCAAGGGGCGTGGATGTACGGATAAATAAAACACACTGCGGAACATACTTGAACAATGTACTGAGTCGAACAGGGAGTTGTATGTAAATTTCATCGACTATGAGAAAGCGTTTGACAGCATTCATAGGGACAGTCTTTGGCAGATTCTGAGAGCATATGGCATTCCACAACGCATTGTTAATATCATGAAATGCTTCTACTCAAATTTCACATGTTGCATCGGTCAGGGGATCTAAGTTTTGAAGTCAAAACTGGTGTACGGCAGGGATGTGTCATGTCGTCAGTGCTATTCAATATTGCTATCGACTGGGTCCTTTGTCGAACAATGGAAGAGCAGCGAAGAGACATAAGATGGACCCCTTTTACTACGCTCGAAGACCTCGACTTCGCAGACGATTAGTTTGAAGGAGACACAGGTCATATGTGTTAATGTCCCTTCCCCAACAAAAATCAGGGTAAGATGACAGGACATTCTATACACCAACAAGTTCACATACCTCGTAAGTGTGCTCTGCCAAGATGGAGGTACTAGTGTAGATATACAAAGCAGATTGAACAAAGCAAGATATGCCTTTATGAGCTTAAGATCAGTGTGGAGGTCAGCAAGCTACAGCACAAAGACGAAGCTTAGAATTTATCAGAGCTCCTTCCATAAGGTGAACGCTAGTTTTTTTGCAGCGTGAGTTTCTGCAAGTGCATTGATTGCAGGTGAAAAGTCCATATGTCTATTTGTATCTAGCGCTTACTGTATGGGTCGTTAAGACCCTGTTGTTGTTGTTTTTTTTTTTTGTTTCAATTTTAGATCAAACTGTGTCATTAATGCGTTTCTTCCTTTGTATTGGTTCTTTGGTCCTCTGTTGGACGGAACAATGACTAATTTTTTGTTTACTGCTTCCATTTTTTAACTATCCCAGACCCCCTTTTGCTTGTTATTAATAACAAAGTCTATTTTAGTACAAATTTGGCAGATGGCGTGCAGCCAATCACTTAGCGGGAACATGACTATTTTACTTACAGTTCAGTCAACCTCCTGTTGTTATTGAAGACTCCAGCTGGTAACTCTGCTATCTCATTGTCCTGTAAGTGCCTACAAAAAGATGTTTACCCTGAATTTAAACTACGGTCTGTTTTAAGTTAATGTTTTAGCTTCGAAGTCAGTTTGTGGTTAAAATAGTAAGTATCAAAGAACAGAAACCCAATGGTGTTTATAGGGTGGCAATTTTTTAGCGATATAATGTTCCCAAAACTACATTTACTCTTGCTACTCGTCTTTATTCAATCTTGCCAATCGTGCAGGTTTTTACCAGTCTTACTGACGTAACATTAGGATTAAATAAAAATGGAGAGACTTCTTGAATTCCAAACTGAGGGATTACAAATTTCTTTGAACGAAAATTCAAAAACAATAAACAACTTCGTGAAAACAAAGCAATAAAGAAGCGCGAGAAAAGTTGTCCACGTCAATTTCCAATGTCAAGGTTAAAGCTCTTTGACCTGATTGACTACAGTATTTAGTAAAATTACACGCGCTGCGCGTGAATGCGAAAAAGTACAAAAAGAATACAAATGTCTGGTGGTCCGTAGTGGACATGCCTTATTTTTTTTAATGCGCGATGAGAAAAAAATATCGCGCGATAAATGGAAATTATTAAGCGATAAATGACAAATTATCGTGCGATAAATAGAGATTATTGCACAATAAGTAATAAATCATCGCGCGATAAATGGAAATTATCGCGCAATAATCTTTATTATCGTGAAATGAGTTGTTTAATAGACTTATTCAAGGCCGGACTTACCAACAGAAACAGGCAAAGTTGTGAAAAATTTAAAGCGTGTAAGGCAAGGTGAGAAAAATATTTAATTTGATCTAATGTCTTTTCTGGGTTATTAAACCCTGATGAAATTTAAAGAGGCCATAACATACTTTCATTACCCAAGGTAAATGGCGACAATTCGCCTCAAGGAAACTTAGTGCGGCTGCTTACTCATGTGTTTAAACCAATCAGTGCCGCATTGTCTAGGCAGTCGTCTGTTGAGATTCTTGCCAGAGTTTATGAAGTAAGACCATTGAACACGTAATGTTATAAACCAGTTCTGTATAACGACTTCAACTTTTGTTTTTATGTATTTGTCTGACGTTATCTCTGCATCAGTTGCTAACAAATTCGTGTTGTGGAACACTTGATAAACATTATTCACTTACAGCCTCTGTAGTCTGACCAATGTAGCAAATGAGTCACCATGCAGCCTCTTGATGTTGTTTTTGTATAAAAATCTATAAGTATTTCAAAATAAGCAAGTAAAGTAACCCAAGAGAAAAAATACGTTAGCCACCAAGATAAGTAGAGAATGTCTCATTTCTGTAAATATAGCTAGCTAAATGGATTTTTCACTCTGAAATCACACAGCCCTTTCATGAAATGGGATTGATAACTTTGAAAAAAATTCTCGATATTAAAACTGTGAACTGGGAACATACTGAATAGGCTAAATAAATCAGACCTGTATCCCGGCTTTTTTTCTCCCGTTTTATCATGGATAAAGCAGAATGTAGTTTAACTTACCTGATGAAATTTACGTTTTGTAACAAACAGTCAATGTTAATCGATAGTTTTTCTTTATCATCTTCTTTTTTTCAGTTGGGAAAAGACAGGGAAGTGATGGATAAATTGTGTCCTCTTAACCATTATCTTTATTGCCGTCGGATAAATAAAACGGCAAATTGGTCTAAAGATTCTAAAAACAAAAAAAGTGCAACGAAGTCCCTAACTGAGCAACAGAACTACATGGTTCGAAAAACCACGAAATAGAAATTGAAGTCTCAATTTGTTTTTTCCGGAGTCTTTTCCGTCTGGAGAAGATCCTTGGAATTTGAGTGGAAGCTCTCAAAAGTTTAGTTATCACTTACCATTTATCCCCACAGGGGAGGGGGGGTGGGTGGAGGATTTTGGCTTTGTCCCGATTAATTTACCTGATCCCCCCATAGGAGACTGAAATATCCTTCAGATGCCCCTCCCCTTAGTGGCAGCAAATTGGCTATCAGTTGTCTGTAGTTCCACAATATAAAATGGACGACGGCTGATTTCCCCTCCGTTCCCTTGTAGAAACCATATTATCCGCCCCGAAATCTTCCACCCCTCTCCCTTAGGCAATAATAACTGGCTGATCCCTTACCTTTTTTTGAGTATGTTAGAAAGATAACAAACACAACTGTATCTCTTTGATTTGAACATACATAAACAATAGCCTTTTTTAGCGCGAAAATGTGCACGGATATGAGTGATGTAGCCTGAATTACAGCTCTCTCCTCCAGTGACTTAGCGAGCGGAGGAGGCGGCTCAAATTCAGGCTATGAGTGATGCGAAAATTGTGAGTTTCGAGGAGCAGACAATGTCCAGGGGCAAATATACGACCATTTTTTGGGAAAAATGGAGAATAGTGTGTTTATTATCCTTCAAATATGTTTAAAACGCTCTCTATTGGCGGACAAATTCCCGAGTTTTTTTTAACGCAAAATGGATATGTACTCAAGAATAATTTGGTTATTTACAAGAGGGTTAGCTTGGTGAACATAAATTGGCAGAATAAATCAGACCTGAATCCCGCCTTTAACAGTGCAATAGGACAACAGGGCTAAGTGTCATCCAATTCTGTTTCTAATCCTACTCGTGATTACCAAATTGATTTGGTTAATCACTCACATGATTATGGGCCAAATTAGACTAAATATGGGTCAGTTATCTACTGGCGTCCATTAGTGTCTATGATTTCTTTTCTAGCTAGAGTTAAAAACGGTCGACTGCTAAAAGTATGAGAAGTATGTGCGTGTGGGTCTTTAAGCCCAGGGACCTTCGAAAACCATAATATGCCAGTAAAAGAGAGTGGCATAATTTGTAGAGAGTGTGTGAGCAAAACGAAAGCAGGTTGCTCTGTTTTGCAGTTGCGTATATAAGATTTCTCATTTATCAACGGATGACCAAATCCACCATAGCAGGGCTTTGATTTCTTTTGGAAAACACAATAAGCTTAATTACTGATGATTATATTCTCAGACAAAGTTTTTTAAAATCATCTATAGATGGTTACACGAAAACAACATCAAGAAACTGCATAAAGGTTTATTTTCTCCATTGGTCAAGCTGCAGTGGTTGTAAGTGAAGGACATCGATTGCCAATTCTACGAACGCATACTTAACCTGTGATTAATACTACCTCACCACGCGTAAAAAAAAAGAGAAGTTCAAACACACACACACACACGTATATATATATATTTGGTTTTCAAAGGCTTCATTACGAGAGCTTTTCCTTCCATTTCAAGGGATGATCTACTGTATTTTTTTAATAATAATAGAAAAATCAAAGAAAATCAAAGACACAACCAGATAAATATTCCAATTGTAGTCTGATCTGGCCTTTAATCATGTAAGTGATTAGTCAGATTAGTAACGATTGAAATCGCATTTCTGGTAAAATACAGAACCGCGATGTGATGGTTAAGGCAAATTTGTCCTTCAGAACAATGTTTTATAGGTATTGGGGTTGATGTTATAACCTTTGACTGGGTGATGATATGGGTTGAATAAATTAGATTAACAAAACGTAAATAACGTCCCTTACGCTAGTTTTTTTTTAATGCACTGGGATCGATGACAATGCAAATGGGATTCTTATCAAAATTTCGAACCGCGTTTTTGGTAAAAGAGCGCGTTGAGATATAAGATTTGCATCAATTTCCATGTTTCAATCCTCAGCATTAGTCCCTTAAAATTCTCTGCCGTGAGCACACAATAGATGTTTTTTCTCACGTACAACTCTTACAGCTCGACAAATCGGGTAGATAAATATTACGCAGTTTCTTGAGGTTGTTTAAGTGTAACATTCATTGGGGTTTTAAAATCTTTCTTCTTGAGAATAATTTATTATTACTACTCATAAAGATATATACGCTTATAATGACGAAATAGATGCCCTAAGAAGGCGGAAATGGTCACCTGCTATAGTCAAGGAATCTTGTTCAAGTATCCAGTAACTGATAAAAAAAGTTATTCGCCTCTGTTCAGCTCACACGCTCTAACAGTCATGTCACTCTCTTTCAATCGCATAGCATGGTTGTCGAAGACTCCTGAGCTTAAACACCTCAGACTCAGCTTTAACAAAAACTGCAGCCTTACAAACTCTTTCTGATGTAAGAAATCAAAAAAGGAGCTTAGAACCGAAATTCACGAGACTGCGCTGTTAATAAAGAGATTTTGAGCTCATATTCTAAACAATCCATCAAATATTAACTTATGAATGTATTACTTACAGTCTAGTCAACTCGGAGTAGCTACTGAAAACTCCAGCTGGCAGCTTCTTGATTTTGTTTTCATTTAAGTGCCTAAGAAATGGAAATAAATTAAATTTAATATGTAGCCTTAATGGGTAATCATGATTCCTAAAGTGAGCCAATCTTTGTTATTGTGTCGTTTTAGGAAAGAGCTTGAGAACTATAATATAGCTAAAGTTCTTGGAGGTAGCATTTCATAAACAAGGGCAAGTGTTTTATCAGGGTTTCTTGATCACGAGGAAACTGGAAAATCACGCATAATTATATTTAGTTTACTTTTCTTTTGCTTCATTAAGACATGTATATTTTGCCAGCCAATGTAATGAAAGGTGTTTCATTTTAATCAGAGGCAGTTGCACTTGGCATTGATCTCTTCCTCTTCAATTGCAATTTTGAGAAGCGGAAGAAGCAACAATGAGTAAGTCTACATGGTTTTGAACTCTAAAAGTTACCACAAGGAAGTTTTGTGTTTGAACCTTCGAAGCCTAAAAGTATACAGCACAAACATCAGTGGGCTGTTCATGCTTTTGAAGTTGAAATGGTGCACGTGACAGAATAGTTCCTTTTTACTTGAGCCGGATAGTGCGTTCAAAGATTATGATTTTCACCGAGTGCAAGGTCTTGAAGAAAGGTTAGAAGGCGTGGACACCTTTTCCCAAAACTTCTGGCTTACAAAGTTCGTCTGAACAAACGAACAAGCACTTGTTCGAGTACTGCATTCTTTGGCAAATTGATTTCCAACCACGCCTGCTCATCTGCGTTGTTTACTAGGGCTATCAAGGTTCGAAATGATGAATGACTAAAAAATTTAACATTAGACCAACGTTTTCAGATATCTGGAAACGGACGGCAGATTCATTGTTCGCTCTTAGTAAAACTGAAGAAAAGCACGATGTTCATCGCATGTTATTCAGCACCAGGAAAATACCAATGAATGGCTGTTCTCCCTGATGTTTTTCTCAAGTTTTCCCGTGCGCGTGAACGCTGCATTTCCCAAGCGTCTTCCCACAGAATAACTAATGGTGAATGCCATGAAAACATGATGTTTGCCGGAATTGTATTCCCGCTCCACGAAAATGCTAGTATATAGCTTGTTTTCGTAAACGTTTTACTATAGTTTTCCCGAGCGCAGGAAAGCTGGATTTCAGTTTCCAAGTGTTTTACCGCAGAATTACCAACGGTGAATGCCATGAAAACATGTTTGTTGACTATGAGAGCGATCTTCCCAGTAACAAACACGACGAAAGAGTGAGTGTTAGCAAGAATCAAACAAAATCGGAAACTAGCGGCAAAAATGTGGAAAGCGAAATCTGCTCAAACTCTGGCTACTAATCGTCGATAGTGAACTACTCATCGCCATGTGGTTCATTCCTCGAATAGATTTTTGTTTTGGCGGAGAATGGCGATTCTAGATATCAGGGCCAGATGTAAGCAAATTAGGCTTGGAAATTAGCAATTTTCAAGAAAACCTTATGCCTTAAATAAAGAGCCCAACGATATTCACATGCAATCAGCTTATTTCACAATTTTTCCAGGTTTTACACTGTAATTTATATGACATTTGAAAAGAAATCTGACATTGTGAGAGATTTTGAAAGATCCTCCCATGTTTTTTTTATGGAAATCACTATCCAGCTTGAAAAAACGATTTACCCTACTACCTTTATCACAAATTAAACGAACCCTAGAGGTCAAACCCCTTTACAAATGGGCTTTTAAGTGATATGACTTTTTCTCTGGGGAAATAAGGCTGTAGTCAATGAGAGAGTGCTTAAACTCGCACATATTCGCGAAATCAAACAAGAGATTTTTCGACCGACCGTGACAGACAGAACTATTATTTCCGCCCATCCAAAAAGCTCACTGAAAATATAGCGCTCATTCCTGTGGTAGTTGAGTCGTGCTATATACATGTATTAATTTTTTTCTTGTCGTTTTTATCGTTATTCTTGTATTATCTTTATCTTTAACATGTATATGTTAACGTGCTTCTGTGGTTTGCCGACTGGGAAGTCCATATAGTGAAAAACTGTAAGCTGGTGAACCTCGGGCTTGAAAATACTTCCCGAGGTCGCAGGACTCGGGCAGCATTTACAAGCCCGAGGTTCACTGCTTTATTTTCTTCCTACGGTAAATTGGCTTTCAACATGGGTTTGTTTACGCCACTGTGTTTTTTAATTGATTTACAAGCCTTCTACAAACGATTTATATAAAATTTTTCGCAACAACTAACTTAGATACTAGACACCAACGTATATGTTACAGAACAGATACTTCTAAATTTTACAACAAACTAAGAGCGAATATCTCCAAGGATCAAACGAAATCGTAAGTTAGGGGCAAAAGTGCGAAAACTCGAAATTGTTCAAACTCCGGCTATCAGTCGTCCCTATAATAGTATTCATCTCTAAATAAGGTTCATTTGTCAAATAATTCAGAAAAGGGGCCAAGCTAAGAGTTCAACACTAACTCACAGGTGTTGTAGAAGTCATATATGATTAAATGTGAATGCTGAATGCTGGCTTAGAAGGGAGGCGAGAAAAGTAACTGCTAATTTGCTGGTTTGTGAGAAAGTTCCCATAGCTAAATAGTCTCTCCCCATTGCTATCTTTTGCATTCCTCATGGCTTTAGAGACTTCATCAGTCGGGTCCGCCTGTCTTCCCTGTTCTCTCTCCATTTTGAAACTTGGAATTGAGGTACTGCTTTTGATTGTCAGTAACCTTTGTACTACGGGACTGTGTCGATTTCAGTGCCCATCCCATCGGAAGAGTAGTGGGCACAGTTGGTAGTGATGGTTTACTACCTTCTAGGACCGTTGGGCATTTACTCGCGCCACAATCCAGATTAGTCGCGTATTCTATCGTGGCCCTGTCAAAGAGCGTTTCATACTCTAGAACACGCTTGTGCTTTCCATAGCCCAAGTGTTGAACCAGCGATGAATGCCGTATAAACGTCTTGACACATCCCTCTTCTACNCGTCACGCTTTCCCGGAACTTACGTGGAAGATATTTTATCACCCAGTCAAGTACTAGAAAAATGGATGGGGCGCTGAGGCCGCTCATGATGTCAAGTCTGCATTCATCCTGATTTATAGACCGCGATAAATGGGCTTTCCAGCATTCAATGCTCTGTTTGGCCTGGGAAATAAGAAAAGACAGTTATTCATTTTCATTGTCCGAACATTCAGCCGTTTCTAAGCCTTCCTCAATCTCCCTCATTACAGAGGAGACAAGCAACCAGCGGTCACAGCTGTCACAAAGGGCGTGGCCACAAGTCAGAATAATTTGGGTCGTCAGGATCACTCAGAGCGTATGTTCTACAGTGGTCAGGCACAGCGGAGCTGAGAGTTAAATCAGCACTTTCGAAATTCCTCGATCCGCGTTTCTATTTGCTCCATGTTGGGATAAGATTTATGGCACACAGCACTTGCAAATGTTTTACCGCCAGCCAGGTCCGAGTTCACGGCGGTGTGTGAGCAGATTGTGTCTTAACTCTGCGTCTCGTCCTCGCGGAAAACACCCACTCTAGCAAGTATAAGTTCACTTTCCGTTTTCACTCCACAAAATGACCAGTGAGAACAATGATTCGAAATATCCTTTGAGCAATTGCGTAAAGTAACAATTTCAAGACTCTTGCTTTTATCTAACCTATCAGACGAGCAGTCTGTTCCAGTTATTCTATGAAAGGAGCATGAGAACGCCATTGCTGAGTTGCAGAGCGTGAGACAGGCCGTGGGAAAATTTCCCTATAATTGAATTGGATCACAACTTGTTTATGACTAGCAACCATAACAACAATGATAAATAGTTCATTTCAAGGCTTTTAGATCAACAGTTGCATAGCCCCTAGTGATCAGTGATGAGATCTTGATTCTTTAAACTATAAACTATCTCCAGCTGGCGGCTGTTCTAAAATAGAAATGGTATCAATTGATTAACCCTTGTACCTGTAAAAGAGCATCATTCACCTGAAAAAATACTGTAAATGTTCTGCATAATTATGGACTGTTCACATTAAAATATCATCCAAGTTAGTAATATAACAAGCATTCCATTAGCTGCTGTATTTTCTCGAAAAATTAATAAATAACAAAACTCCGCCACAACAAGAAGATATATTTTAATCGACTTTGGGGCTTTGGGCTGGAATGATATAGCTGTCTGTCACCGTCGGTCACGCAATCTCTTGTTTGATTTCCCGAGAAATTGCAATTTTGAGCACACTTTCACATAGCACAACCTAATTTCACTAGGAAAAAAAAAACTGTATCGATCCCACTTCTTCTGCATTCTAAGCAAAAAACATTTCATTTGATTTGTGATAAAGGTAGTAGGGTAAATTATTTTTTGAAGTTTACTAGTTATTTCCATGGAATAACAGAAGGCTTCCTTTCAGGTCTCACTCAATACCTTATTGTTTTTCAAATGTCATAGGAATTATAATATGAAACCTGCAAACATTGCAGAATAAGCTGATTGCAAATGGTTGTCATCTGGGTTTATAGGTACGGCAAGCCGTCAGCTTCAAAAGGGCTAATCTTTTAGTCTAATTTTTTAATACTTGGCCCTGAAATCGGATATCATCATTTTCTGCCGAAAGAAAACACCATTTGACAAATCAACCCCATAGCGATAAATAGTTCAATATGGACTACTAATAGCCAAAGTTTGGGCGATTTTGAAATTTT